TCGTGGCGGTGGGGGGGGCCGAGGGCCTGTGCTACCTGCACATGTTCACCCCTCCGCCCCCCGTTGCCCGCTTGCACGATCTCTCATTATATCCGCAGCATCTCCCCCTCTCCCCTCCTTGCTTCCCCATTCACTGCGCCTCCCATCCCACCAGCGGCTCTAGAGCACCCCGACGCACACAAGCTAGGGCTCACCTTCCTGCAGCGAGTGGACGTGGCAGTGGGGGCAGCGGAGGGGCTGCGCTACCTTCACAACTTCACCTCTAAGCACCCCTTTTAACCCCTTGGCTCCCATCTCCCATCTCCCCAGCGGCTCTAGAGCACCCCGACGCACACAAGCTAGGGCTCACCTTCCTGCAGCGAGTGGATGTGGCGGTGGGGGCAGCGGAGGGGCTGCGGTACCTGCACAACTTCACCACGCCCTCCGTGGTGCACCGCGATGTGAAGAGCGAAAACATCCTGCTCGATGAGAACATGCAGGTGAGCGAGCTGCTCTTGCCTCCCTCCTTCTCGAGAACATGGTGGACAGGGCAAGTGCCGGCAAGGTTTAAAAAAAGGTGGTAACACCTATTTGCTCGTCTCCCTTTCTGACGTATGCCCCTCTCTTACCACATCCCTGCATTCGCCCCCATCAGCCCAAGGTGGCGGATTTTGGGTTTTTTCAAGAACATGGTGGATTGGGCGAGTGGCGGCAGGGAGGTGCCTCCCTTGTCACTGAAGCCCATCTGTTTGTCTCCCATGCTCCCCTATGTGCCGCTGCTGTATGCCCTATGCTGCATGCCTGCCTCTATCCTTGTTGATCTACTCCCACCATATCAGCCCAAGGTGGCGGATTTCGGATTCTTCAAGAACATGGTGGGCGGGGCGAGTGGCGACAGGGAGGGTGTGTGGTGTGGGTCAGTGAAGCATGCTCGCTCATCTTCCCACTTCTACTGCTGCTTGTGCTTTCCCTCCCTGTCAGCCCAAGGTGGCAGATTTTGGGTTCTTCAAGAACATGGTGGGCGGGTCGAGTGGCGGCAAGAAAGGACCTCCCTTGTCACCAAAGCCAATCTGTTTGTCTCCCTTGCTGCTCTATGCCCTACGCTGCCATTCCTTGTTGCCCCCGTTCCACCCTATCAGCCCAAGGTGGCGGATTTCGGGTTTTTCAAGAACATGGTGGACGGAGCGAGTGGCGGCAAGGGCGCATCTGAGGCAGTGAGCACGCGAGTGCTGGGCACGCCGGGCTATGTGGACCCTGAATACTACTACACGTGCAAGGTCACCACCAAATGCGATGTCTATAGGTGAGTCGCCTCACCTTGGTATGTGTTGGCAGTAGGGTTGAGTCAAAGGCGAATGCTGGCTGCTGGGGCACTCAGGTGGAGTGCTGGGCAAGCCGGGCTATGTGGACCCTGAATACTACTACACGTGCAAGGTCACCACCAAGTGCGATGTCTATAGGTGAGTCGCCTCACCTTGGTATGTGTTGGCAGTAGGGTTGAGTCAAAGGCGAATGCTGGCTGCTGGGGCACTCAGGTGGAGTGCTGGCAAGCCGGGCTATGTGGACCCTGAATACTACTACACGTGCAAGGTCACCACCAAATGCGATGTCTATAGGTGAGTCGCCTCACCTTGGTATGTGTTGGCAGTAGGGTTGAGTCAAAGGCGAATGCTGGCTGCTGGGGCACTCAGGTGGAGTGCTGGGCAAGCCGGGCTATGTGGACCCTGAATACTACTACACGTGCAAGGTCACCACCAAGTGCGATGTCTATAGGTGAGTCGCCTCACCTTGGTATGTGTTGGCAGTAGGGTTGAGTCAAAGGCGAATGCTGGCTGCTGGGGCACTCAGGTGGAGTGCTGGGCAAGCCGGGCTATGTGGACCCTGAATACTACTACACGTGCAAGGTCACCACCAAATGCGATGTCTACAGGTGCGTGCCTCACTCGACGAACCTTTGCTGTTGGCACACTCGGGTGTGGAGTGCTGGGCATGCTGGGCGGTCTATGTGGATTCCGAGTGCTGCTACACGTGCAAGGTCACCACCAAGTGTGACGTGTGCAGGTGGGTGGGTGCTGCTGCATGCTTCGTAGTGACGCTCATGCTCAATTCATGGAACACTCGTGTGCACCATGTGATGCGTTCAGCTGGCTCGTCTTGTCTCTGTGTCCTCATTCTCCTCAACCCTTCCCTACCTCCGCGTTCTTCCCTTTACTTCTTTTCGCTCCTGTGCAGCTTCGGAGTGGTGTTGTGGGAGCTGATCACGGGCAAGTCGGCCATTTCAGAAGTAACTGACCCCGAGTCAGCCCCACCTCTCTGAACACCTCTCTATCTACCTCTACTCCCTGCTTCTCTCCTCAGTTTTGGTGTGGTGCTGTTGGAGCTGATCACGGGTAAATCACCCATTCTAGAGGTGGAAGACCCAGGCAGACTTTAGCCTGCTCCACCCCTCTCTACCTCCCAGTATTCCGCTGCAGCTTCGGCGTGGTGCTGTGGGAGCTGATCACAGGCAAGTCGCCCATCCTAGAGGTGGACGACCCCGAGTCAGGCCCAGGGGCATGCCTTTGAGATGTCTCAACAATATTCTTGCCCTTCTCCCCTCCCATGTTGACCTGCTTGGCAGTTTCGGTGTGGTGCTGTGGGAGCTGATCACAGGCAAGTCGCCCATCCTAGAGGTGGACGACCCCGAGTCAGGCCCAGGGGCATGCCTTTGAGATGTCTCAACAATATTCTTGCCCTTCTCCCCTCCCATGTTGACCTGCTTGGCAGTTTCGGCGTGGTGCTGTGGGAGCTGATCACGGGCAAGTCGCCCAGCCCATTCTAGAGGTGAAGGACCCCGAGTCAGGCTCGAGCCTGCTTCACCCATCTCAACACCTCTCTCCTCCCCCGTATTCCTGTGTAGTTTCGGTGTGGTGCTGTGGGAGCTGATCACGGGCAAATCGCCCATTCTAGAGGTGAGGGCCCCGAGTCAGACAGGCTTGAGCCTTGTTCACCCCTTTTAACACCTCTCTACCTCCCCGTATTCATCTGCAGCTTTGGAGTGGTGCTATGGGAGCTGATCACAGGTAATCGCCCATTCTAGAGGTGGAGGACCCACAGTCGAGGCCACCTCTCTGAACACCTCTTCACATCCCTGTATTCCTCTTTCCCTTATCGCCAGCTTCGGCGTGGTGCTGTGGGAGCTGATAACGAGTAAATGGCCCATTCTAGAGGTGGAGGACTCTGGCAGGTTCCACCCGTCTCAACCCCTCTCTACCTCCCCGTATTCCTCTGCAGCTTTGGAGTGGTGCTGTGGGAGCTGATCACGGGCAAGTCGCCCATTCTCGAGGTGGAGGACCCCGAGTCAGGCCCGGGGGATGGGCCCTGCTTCATGCAGCTGCCCATTTGGGTGAGTGCGGTGTGGTTAAGTGGGGAGGGGTGGGGTTGCATGGGATGGGATGGGCCCTGCTTCATGCAGCTGCCCATATGTGGAATGGGGTGGGATGCGATGGGATGGGGTGGGACGGGACGGGACGGGATGGGATGGGATGGGATGGGACGGGACGGGACGGGACGGGACGGGATGGGATGGGATGGGATGGGATGGGATGGGATGGGATGGAACGGGATGGGATGGGATGGAGTGGGGTGGGAGGAGATTCAATGGGATGGTCGATGTTTGATTGGGGATGAGGTAGCTTTACTATGGACCCGGCACTGAAGGGCGACTGCATCCCTCCCCTGATCCCTTTCAGTTCTCCTCATCCGCCTTCCCCCCCTTTCCCCCAAGGCTATCATGTACCTCAAAAAGGGCAATCTAGAGGAGATAGTGGACCCGGCATTCAAGGCCGACTATGACAAGGAGGCGATTAAAGCCATGGCGGATATAGCTGACAATAGAGACAAGGCACACCAACTGTACATCCCTTCCCTTCTCCCCTCCTGCTCTCCCCTTCCCTTCTCCCTTCCCCGCTCCATTCCCTGTCCCTGGTCCCCAATCCCTTCCCCCTGCCCCCCCTCCTCCACTTTCCCCCCCACCAGGCAATCATGTACCTCAAAAAAGGAAATCTAGAAGAAACAGTGGATCCAGCATTCAAGGGGGACTATGACAAGGAGGCGATTAAAGCCATGGCGGAGATAGCCGACAAGTGCACTAGAGACAAGGCGCGGCACCGACCCGAGATGACCGACGCTCTATATTCCTTCCCTCCCCCTTTCCTTCTCTCCCCTTCCCTTGTCTCCTCCGTGCTCCCTTCCCCTGTCCCTTGTCGTCAATCCCTTCCCCCTGTCCCTGCGCCGCTTCCCAGGCGATCATGTATCTGAAGAAGGGCAACCTAGAAGAAATAGTGGATCCAGCATTTAAAGGCGATTATGACAAGGAGGCGATTAAAGCCATGGCGGAGATAGCCGACAAGTGCACTAGAGACAAGGCGCGCCACCGACCCGAGATGACTGACGCGCTGACGTGGCTGGTGGAGATCCAACGGCGCCTCAAGCGCGAGAGCGACCCCAGCTATGTATCTGAGCCGTCCACTCCCGTGGCTGGGAGCAGGGGCGCGGGCGGGGGAGGGGATGCGGTGTTAGAGCTGGCTGGAGTTGGGGGGGCGGATTCATTGGTGCTGCACTCGACCACGCACCAGCCACCCATCTCCACCAACTTTGAGGGGCGGTGACACGCAAGAGGGTGTGGGGGAGGGAGAGAAGTGGGTGGTGAATATTCAGCGTTGCCTCGAGTGGGAGAGTGAGCGACCCCAGCTATGTGTTTGAGCCGTCCACTCCCGTGGCAGGGATGGGAGGGGGCGGGGGAGGGGACGTGGTGCTAGAGTTGGCTGGGGTTGGGGGGGCTGATTCATTGGTGCTGCACTCGACCACGCACCAGCCGCCCATCTCCACCAACTTTGAGGGGCGGTGACACGCAAGAGGGTGTGGGGGAGGGGGGGAAGTAGCTAGTGCGAATTCAGTGTTGCCTCAAGCGCGAGAGCGACCCCAGCTATGTGTTTGAGCCGTCCACTCCCGTGGCAGGGATGGGAGGGGGCGGGGGAGGGGACGTGGTGCTGGAGTTGGCTGGGGTTGGGGGGGCTGATTCATTGGTGCTGCACTGGACCACGCACCAGCCGCCCATCTCCACCAACTGTGAGGGGCGGTGACGGAGGGATAAAGAGTGCAGAGGAAGAAGTAGGGCTGGGCTGGCAAAGAGAGGCATAAGAGATAAAACGCCATGCAAGCCTGGGGAAGGGTACAAGGGCGTGGGGTGGAGAGTGGTGAGATGGAGTGAGATGGCATGCAGGACTGGAGGTGGTGGTTGGAGGGGGAAGGATGCTGCCTTGTGTCTGGATAGTCAGCCTTGCCCATCCCTTTGCTTCTCTCTTGCTGCAGCACAGTGAGCCGATCGTTAAGGTGCTGCAATAATCGCCGCTCCCTGCACCCGCATGTAACTGCTACCTGTGCTGTGTGGTGCAGTGGGGTCATGTGCGGTGCTGGGCTTGGGTTGTCCTTGCCTCAGCCCTTCATAAAGTTAATACGGTAGTACTACCGGTAGGCAGGTGACTCTTAGGCGCTTCAAAGATGTGCTGGGCCTGGTTTGTCATGTCAGAAGCAGCGCCACCAAGGATTATACGATACGAAAAGGGAGCACTGTGATGGGATGAAGTCTGGCAAGGCAACACATGCTAGCTTGGTGATCGATCGCAGTGAGCTGGCTTGCAGCTGAGTGTGGTCCTGCCAGCTCAGCACCTTGCAGTGTGCGCTGCTTACGGTGCTGAAGTGCTCAGCTCAGCACCTTCTAACAGCTGAATCATTGTCACGCATTGTCACGCCGTGGAGTGTGGGATGGTGTGCGCCTGTTAGGATGAGTAAGGACCCGCACAGCTCACCTTCAAAAGAAAATCAATTGTTGTGTTGGGGTTTGGGCTGGGTGTAAGGGAAGAAGACATGACCTTGACATCAGTCGAGGCTGTCCCTATGCCTGGAATTTCACCCTGCTCTTTGGGTTTTGCACGGTATGTGTGTCTTATTAGTTGTACACACCATTGGGTGCAGCTGCTTTCCTGTACAGAATCCTTGACAAAGTTATGGAATGCAAATGTTTAATGTATGCTGTTTTATAGGTATACAGGTACAAATTGACGTTCTCTCGTGAAATCGAATTACTTTTTATCACGAACAAGATTCGCTTCCGAGACCTTCTGTTTCACGGATCGCGCGCCTTTCAAACCGTGGCGCTTTTCGTCCCAACAAACTAATAGTTGCCATTTTTCCTAGTAGGATGGCCTCTCAGTGCCAGCGACGCTCGCTGACTCCCTAATCGCTGAGTCCGTCGTAAGAGCGTCCGTCCACGCCGCGTGAGTGTCGAGCGACTATAGCGAGTATCGCGACTATAGCGAGTATCGCGACTATAGCGAGTATCGCGACTATAGCGAGTATCGCGACGTTCTGCAGCAGTATCACATGCACGAAGCCCCCCTTGATTGATATTTTTTTTTTTTTTTTACGATTCGGTGAAAACCGTCTGGCGATCCGCCAATCGCGAATGGCCACGTGGGAAGCGAGGGTCCGCTCTTGCGGCGAGCGGCTGTGTCAGCTGCCGGACACGCCATTCGAGGAAATCGAGGCCACGTCAGCACAGCTAAGGCGGCTGCTGGAGGAGGGATGCGCAAGTTCGTGGAAACCTCTGGCAGGAAAAGGAGAAGCGGGAGAATCCGGGGCTTCTGAGGGTCTCCTTGCCGCGAATGGCGCTGCGGACTCTGTTGAAAAAGACTCGAAAAGCGAATTCTGTTTGTCTCGAGAGCAGAGTCGGGAGCGCGCCGTGTGGCACGTGCGGAGCGATGCCTGGCACGGGGGGGGAGGGGAAGAGGAAGGGCGGGGAAGAGGGGAGGAGGATTATGGGCGATTGGGACCTGATGAAGGCTGTTCGGCGCGAGAGCGGAGTCGGGAGCGCGCCGTGTGGCACGTGCTGCAGCTGCTGCTGTCGCTGCTGTCAGGTCACAAGGTAAGGCGGGGATGAGAGGTGAGGAGGGGAGGTGGGTGGGGTGAGGGGAAGAGGTGGAGTGGAGTGACGAGGGGAGGTGGGGTGAGGAAAAAGGTAATCCAATCATGCGTGTCACCCTCTCATAGCATCACTTGTATTTCCTTGTCATGCGGAAACTCAAGTGCCTTCCTCACCTCCTTGCTCTTAGCATCCCAATCAGCCTATTGACATGCCCCATGCACCTCTCCCTCCTCCATCCATCCTTGTACCCCTCAGCAACATACCCTGTCATCGTGCCGCGTCCCTCTCCACCCCACCGCACCCTAACCAACCCATCCCACCCCATCTCTGTTATCACTTCCCATTGAACCCGCTCCCCTTGTCATTTACCCCCTTTCATCACACACCCATCGCCAACCGACACTCCGTTGCTCGCCTCCCTCACACACTCCCCCTCCTCTTCTCCCGTTCTTCCCAACCCATCCCCTTTCCAACCTACCCCACTCTCCTCTTTTCGTGACGACCCTTTAGTTCCTCCTCCAATCCACACCCCTCTTTCGTCCATCAGCCATCTCTCCCACTCTGCCGCACCTCATGGGGCATCTATGCCGCCCACCATGCCGCCCACCATGTCACACCTCGCCATAGTCACACCCTGATTGCCCCCTCCTCTTCATCCCCACCTCCTTCCTCTCCTCCTCCCCCTGCCAGGCGTCTCTCCTCATTGACAGGGCCTCGTGGGATATCCTCCGCTTCCTCTCCTCGCCTCTCCCTTCCTCCCCTTCCTCCTCCTCCTCCCCTCCCTCCTCCCCTCCCTCCTCCCCTCCTTCCTCGCCCTCGTCCCCACCATCCCACATACCACCCGCACCAGCAGACGCCTCCCCCCGCTGCTGCGCACTAGCATGCCAGGCAGTGAGGGAGGTGGCATCTGGGGCGGGTGACACCCGCGAGGTGCATGCTGCTCTAGTTGAGGGGCTGTCTGGGGCTGTCAGGCGGGCGGCGCAGGGGGGGTTGGAGGAGAGGGGAGAGGGGGAGGGAGGGGGGGTGGAGGGGGAGGATGGGGGAGGAGAGGGAGGAGAGATTTGGAGTGGCTGTGTGGCGCCGTTTGGCACTCAGCTGGCGCTGCTGACCGGGCTGCACACCAGTGAGTGCTGCGCATTGCGATGAGATGAGATGAGATGAGATCAGATCAGATCAGATTAGATCACATTAGGTGCTGCAGGGTGTGTTCAGGTTGGCTGTTCCTGGGAACTTTCAAAAGCACTCTAGCTCGCCCCGCTGACCGGGCTACACACCAGTTCCGGACATGCCTTGCACAGGATCAAATCATTTGCTGCACGCTGAATTTGTAAGAGTTGTTCTGAGAGTCCTCTTAGTACCATCGAGCACTCACCTCTGCCTTTTGCGTGTGAGTGCCTTGTGGCGTGTGCAGTCAGTCAGGTGCAGTCAGGTGCAGTCAGGTGCAGTGCTTTTGAGAATTCGCACAATTGATGTACTGCAGGCAACGGCAGTCAGCCAGGCGTAGCGCTCGGTCAATTAAAGTGCCGGCATGAGTTCAGTCACTTCACTGTACTTGATTGCCCTCCCCTTTCCACCCGTTTTTCTATCTAACTATTATCATTCTCACTTTTTTTGTGTTTCTTCTTTCATTTCTTCAGCCCTGCCTCGCCTCCATCACTCTTCTCTTTTCACATCTCGTTCCTTCCTCCACACCTGCAACCCCTCTTAAACCCCCACCAAACCCCTTCCTCCCCTCTCGCTCCCTCCCTGTCCTCCCAGCTCTCCCGCGCGTCCCCCGCCAGCGCCATCGATTCTTCGTTGACTTGACGCCGCTCCTCCTGCACCTCTTCGCTTTTCCTGAAGCACACTGGTCTCTCTCCACCCCACCCCACTTTCCATCATTCTTCCCCCCTACTGTTCTCTCCTCTCCCCCCCTCCCCCAGCTCTCCCCCGCATCCCTCGCCAGCGCCATTGCTTCTTCATTGACTTGGCGCCGCTCCTCCTGCACTTCTTCGCCCTCCCTGAATTATTCTACCCTCCCTCCACCCCCTCCACCCTTTCCACTTTCCCCTAACCCCCCCTCCCCCCCAGCTCTGCCCCGCATCCCTCGCCAGCGTCATCGCTTCTTCATTGACTTGGCGCCGCTCCTCCTGCACCTCGTCCAGCGCGCCTCTCACTGTGCTGTGCTGCCAACACTACCACCACTGCCCCACACGCTCTCCTCCCGTGCCCCCTGCACCTCCGCTTCTCAAGCTTCCGTCTCCACTCCACTCCCCTCGCTCTCCCCTCTTTCTGCTGAGGTCTTCCTTCCCCCCCCTCCTCCCAGCCCCTTCGCACCACCACCACCGCACCCCACCCCTTCCATCACACCACCTGGGCAATCCACTCCAACTGTCACACCGCCTGCTCCCTCCATCCCTCCCTTCCCTCACGGCACTCGCTCCATGATCCCCCCATCACCGCACATCACCGCTGCCATCCCACCTCCCAACCCCACCACACCTGCTCCCACCCCTTTCGTATCTGCTCCCACACCACCCGGTCCTGCCCTCACCAGCACTCCCCCCTTCCCTCCCGGCACTCGCTCTATCATCCCGGACCTCCTTCAAACTCCCAGCAGCAGCACAGAGGCAGCATGGCTGGTGTGCCATCGCTGCATGCACCTCGTTCTCCCTGCAGTCACGCGCGCTATAGTCCCACCCATTACAACAACTGCCGCTACGACTGCACGCACTGACGTATCCTCTCACCCGCAAGTCTCCCCCCAGCTACTGCTGGCGGCCCAGACAGCCACGCTGCTGCTGCTCCTCTCCCTCTCCCGCTGCTCCGCCTTCCTCCTCTCCATCCTCTCCTCCCATCCCCACTCCACCTCCACCACCCTCCCTTCGAAACTCTTGCCCCCTTTACCTGCCTCGGACCCAGCCTCCTCTCCCGCACCCTCCCCCACGCCTTCCCCTGCACCCTCCTCCACACCCCTTCCCCCCCTCATCTCCCCTGTGGTCAGTGCCCTGTCTGCTCTCCACTGCCGCCTTGGCTCCCTGTGGCCACTTAACCCGCACCTTGGGGAGAGAGCAACAGCAGACGCACCTATTAGCGTGGGCGCAGGCACAGACGTGCGCATAGGCAAAGGCACACGCACAGGCATTAGCAGCAGCAGCAGCAGAGTAGGTGTGAGCGGTGGTGCAGACAGCACAGCAGCTGGGGCTGACAGTACCACGGCATTCTCTCTCCTCCCCTCAGTGGACCTTCTCTCTCTCACTGTGTGCCCGTCCTCTTGCCACCTTCACGACAACACAGTTGCTTCTGCGCCTGTGCCTGCGTCTGCTGCTGCTGATGCTCCTGCAGCAGCCCGTACGGACGAAGCTTTGGCCGGCAATGCTTGGCTGGGAGCGGTGAAGGCTCTTCTGAGGCCAGATGATAGTGAAGAGGAGGAAGAGGAGGAGGAGGAAGAGGAGGAGGAGGAAGAGGAGGAGGAGGGAGAGGGTGGTAGAGCAAGCAGGGAGGAGAAGAAGAGGAGAGAGGCGGAGAGGTTGAAGAGAGAAGCAGAGTGGTTGGGTGCGGTGCAAGGGGAGGTGGAAGGGGGAGTGGCGGTGCTGCTGCTATGGGTGCTTCTCCAATCTGCAAAGCCTCACCAGCACCACCAGCAGCACCAGCAGCAGCAGCATCAGCAGCAGCAGCACCATCAGCACCCTCTCAGTCGACCGCGCCACTCTCATCACACTGCTCCGCTTTGCTCCTTGCCTCCTTGCTGCTGGTTTCCCAGCTAGCGCTGATGGTGGTGGTGGGAGAACATTAGGAGTGGGAGACGTTGTGTTGAGGAGAGTTGCCGGCATACGATTGGTTCATGCTGCTCTGGATGCTTACACCTCCTCATGCCCTCCCTCACACTCTCCCTCTTCTCACTCTCACTCTCACTCACAATCTCAACCACACTCGCTTACAAACAAACTCTCATTCGCTGACAGTAACGACTCCACTGCTGTAGAAACAGTGACACGTGTCGTGTCGTCATTGGCCGCCGCGATGATGTCAGCGGTCGGCTCGTCAGCGCTGCGCCGGGCAGCACACCGTGCCATGCTGGCCGTGCTGCGGGCTGCGACGACAGATGGGGAGAGGTTGGAGTGCGTGAAGAGGCTGATTGTGGAGTACAGAGAGGAAAGCATGCTGGTGAGTGCGGCACACCGTGCCATGCTGGCCGTGCTGCGGGCGACGACAACAGATGGGGAGAGGCTTGACTGCGTGAAAGAACTTATTGTGGAATACAGAGAAGAAAGCATGCTTGTGAGTGCTGTGCAGTGTGGTCAACGTGCATTATGTGTGGTCAACGTGCATTATGTGTGGTCAACGTGCATTATGTGTGGTCAACGTGCAGCGTGCATTATGTGTGGGATGCTCGGTCCTGCCATGATCCCAAGGGGTGTCAGATACCTCGCATTCACGCATGACATTGCACCCCATGCCTTTTTTTTCCTGTTCTGAAATACATTCTGCAGCCTGTTGCCCTTCCACATCCTCTCACCCTCCCCTCCCTACACTTCACCATCCCCCCTCGCCTTCCTTTTCTCACTTCTCATCTCCTCAATTTCCTTTCCCCTTCCATTCTCTCCCCCACCTCCCATCCCCTCCTCCCCCACCCACCCACCCCGCAGGCCGCTCTGCTCGTGTCATTTGCCAAGGACGAGGTGGACCGAGCAAACTGTCGAGTCAACTGAAAGCTACTTCACCAATAACCCCCTCCCACCCTCCCACCCACCCACTACCTGCCCCCACCAGGTGGCTCTCCTCGTGTCATTTGCCAAGGACGAAGTGGACCGAGCATGGCCTCGCTTGTTGCACCTTGCACCATCCACGTCAGCACCACCATCCACATCAGCACAACCATCCACGTCAGCTCCACCATCCACGTCAGCTCCAGCTTCACCGCCATCAGAATCACCCGCAAGCACTCCTCCCCACCACCCCCTCTCTCCTCCCCCTCTCCCCGCCTTCGCCTCTCCAGCCATCCTCTCCCTACTAGACCTCATCCTTGACCCCTCTGCCTCCGCCCTCCACACCGCCATCGCTACCCATGCCCACTCCGCAGCTGCTTCAAAGCAATCTTCTGCTGCTCCCATATCACCACTCTCGCTCTCTTCGTCTCCCGCGCCGCCCCTCGCCTTCCGCCTGCCGGATCACGCAGACGCCCTCATTGCAGCGCTCAACCTGCTGCGCTTCCTGCTCCTCAGAGAGCAGCAAGCTGAGAGGGCAGGGGGCTGCCCCAGAGAGCAGCAAGCTGAGAGGGCAGGGGGCTGCCCCAGAGAGCAGCAAGCTGAGAGGGCGGGGGGCTGCCTCAGAGAGCAGCAAGTTGCCCCCACCTCCACTGCCTCCCCTGTGAGTCACATGCCTCCCATGGCATCCACAGAGCAGCAACCATCTACCGCACTACACTCCCCCACATCCCTCCGCACCAAGCCCTGCCTGCTTCGCGCGCGCAACTGCTGGCTGCTGCCTCTGCGCTCCGCCGCCCTCGCCGCCCGGGCCTCCCTCGAATCCAGGAGACCACGGGTGGGTGGTGGCAGGGAAGGGATGGGATGTGGGCATGGGGATGGCGAAGGGGAGAGTGGGGAGGAGGAGGATGTGGAGGATGGGGAGGAGGAGGAGGGTCAGATGGATCACCAGGCATGGATGCAGGAGTGGATGGGAGTGGAGACGCTGCTGTCACTTGTAGCTAGATGCCTGGAGCTGGTGGAGGCAGACCAAGGCTTGTAGAGGGGTGTAGAGGCTTCAGGGTACTGAAGTGCGGATGGGAGTGGATGGGAGTGGATGGGAGTGGAGAGGAGACAGTGCCGTCGCTGGTGGCCAGATGCTAGGAGCTTGTGGAGGCAGACGGAGGCATGTAGGGGGATGTGTAGCAGCCAAAGGGAGTGGATGGGAGTGGATGGGAGTGGATGGGAGTGGATGGGAGTGGATGGGAGTGGATGGGAGTGGAGTGGCGACGATGCTGCTGCTGGTGGCCAGATGCCTGGAGCTAGTAGAGGCAGATGGAGGCGTGTAGGTGGGATGTCTCGGCAGTAGCCACATGACACAAGGCTCACGTTGAGGCATTTCAATGCAGCCGTTGGGGGGACGGATGGATGGGAGTGGAGATTGGTGCTGTCGGTGGTGGCTCGATGCGTGGAGCTGTTGGAGGCAGATAGAGGCGTAGTCTCTGGGCGTGCTCAGGGTACTGGAGTGTGGATGGGAGCAGATGGGAGCGCATGGGAGCGGATGGGAGCGGATGGGAGCGCATGGGAGCGCATGGGAGCGGATGGGAGCGGATGGGAGCGGATGGGAGCGGATGGGAGCGGATGGGAGCGGATGGGAGCGGATGGGAGCGGATGGGAGCGGATGGGAGCGGATGGGAGCGGATGGGAGCGGATGGGAGCAGATGGGAGCGGATGGGTGCAGAGTGGAGTCGCTGCTGTCACTGGTGGCCAGATCCCTGCAGCTCTTAGAGGCGGATGGAGGGGCATAGGGGGGAGGTGTAGCCAGAAGCTAGTAGCCAGAAGCCATGTAGCATAAGGCGTGCTGTTGAGGTATCTGGAAGTGAACACTGATTGAATTTTGTTTCTTCTCCCGTCACTATAAAAATGTTTTACGTGTTCGCTCTTCCATATCCATGCACATGTTTCGAATTGCCGAAATTTTGCAATTCTGTCATTTCTAGCAATGTCTCCGTCAGGGGGGCGTTCAGTCGAAATCATAGGCATTTATCATTATCATGCATACATGTGTCGTCATATTATAATAAGATCCCTCGTTGAAGTGAATTCCGTCCGAAAGATGGCTGGCTGGCTGGATGGGTATTTTAGCGCATCGGGAATGTGCCGCGCTATAACGTACCCACGTCTCCGAACGCGGTTCGATTTCGCATTTCAGTTCGTTTCAAGCACACCTCCAACCCATTCCCACCACCCTTAACCACCTAAAACCTCTCATCTCCCTCGCACGGTAGGCCTCATCGCCGCGTCCTCCTCACTTCACGCTTCCTAGGTTACTACCTCAAAGCTCTCCGCTACTCATGAGGCTCTAGTGATTTTCGCCCAGCTCAACACACCGACCAACATCGTAGCACGCTTACGCTGTCACCGACCAGCCAAACTAAATTCACCTTACCTCTATCTCGTGTTACTCACAGCTCTGCTGCGCAATGTTCCTACAAAAGCCAAGCGCCCGATCGCTATTCAAATAGCCAAAGCTTCCACCCGTTCCCCCCACCCTTAACCAAAGGTAGATCTACCAAGCCCGCACCTCCTTGTGATCGCCCAGCAGCCGCCGTAGCGATGAGGCGCTCCAAGGTCCTCTTGGTCCTACTCGCCCTCTCCCTCGTCGTATCCCTCGCGCTGACGCAGCCGTGCCGCGCGAATGAGATTGATGCCGTGGAAGACGATGACGCCGACGACTTGTCAAATGACGTCAGCGTGGATTCCGCCACGTCGGCTCCTGGTAAGTTGGAGAGCCCCGATAAGTCCAATCAGAAGCTCCCCACGGTCGTTTGATACGAGCTGGTTTCTGAGAATCCAAAAAAAAACAAGTCAAATCAGAAGCTCCCCACGGTCATTCTTCTCCTTTCCGCCTTGCCCCGCTAGTAAGGCGTTACCTGTCGTCATTTTCCTGCTAATCACGGTTTCCTGCTTTCCCGACGACAGGTCTCCTGAGCAAGCTTTTCGGTGAGAGCAGGAGGTTCCTTTTCTCGCACCGCATTCTGTCGTGCAAGTCGGATTGCGAGAAGAAGAATAAGAAGTGCAACACGGACTACAGCAAGTGCAAGCGCGAGAACAAGGACGACGAGCACGACCACCACAAGTGCACGCACAAGTATAAGCGGTGCAAGAACAAGGCCAAGAAGTGCCGCTCCAAGTGCGACTAAGTCAGCAAGAGGACATTAGGAATGATTTTTGTCAGTTTGTGTCACATAATCTGGAAATAAGCAACTTGGGTGTGCTGACCTGGAATTGTTACATAAAAATACCCACTTATGGACTTAAAATTTCAGTTAACGAGTCAAAGTGGGTGAATCATGGTTAAAGCTGACCTACATGAGGCTTCCTTTGGGTGTTCCAGTACCGTACGTGCTCCCTTGCTTTTTGAAACACCTCTCATCTAAACTGTTTTGCAGCTTCTGTTTTGGCATCAACGCCAGTGAGAGGGGGGGAGCATATCAACCATTGAACGCCCATTCAACTACCGCCTCTGTTCCTTACCGCAATCCCGTACTGCCAAGGCCGCAATATACGGGATCCCGTACTCGTCCGCCATTTCTGGTCAGCTCACAGTCATCACAAAGAGGCTGAAGAGAAGACCAAGCAGATGGTGCATGCCATGGTAACTAACTACTGTACTACGGTACTGGTGCCTACTTGTATATTTTCAATCCATACACCTGGTTGATACTCCCATCACTGTCAATCACATGCCCACACTCCTGCACATCCAGCCTCTGCAGAGCCTTCAGCTCACTCAACTCCCGTGGCAGCGTCTGCAGCTTCGCGCATCCTGTCAAGCAGAGGGATTTGAGCCGCGTAAGCCGCGCAAAGTCGGGACACAGGGAGCGGATGGAGCTGTGCGGAATCGCCAACTCGTTCAGGCAGGTAAGGCGCGTGAGAGAGGCAGGCAGCTTCTCTAATTTCTCGCAGAGAATGAGGTGCAGCTTTCGCAGCCTGGACAATGCACCGATGCCATCCGGGAGAGAGGCCAGTTGGGACGCATAGTCTACCTCCAAGCTCGTGAGATTCTCAATAGCGGTGACACTCGCTGGCAGCTCCCTCAACTCCCCACATCCCAGCTTCAGCTTCCGCAGCTGCGGCAATGCCGTCCCCATATCGGGCGGCAGCCTTTGGACGTTTCCCGCGCTCTGAACAATCAGGGTGCGCAGCCGAGACAGAAACGTCAGAGCGAAGGGAAGCTCCTCGGCATCGTCTGCCAACGAGAGCCTTAAATGCTCCAGATGAGACATGCTGCGGCTCACAGTGCTCCCGCATGCCACAGACACCCTGTCCAGGCAAAGTGTTCGAAGCCCCGTCAGCCTGGAGAGATCAGGTAGAGCCATGGCATGACTTTAGCTTCCCCAGCTGAGCGTTTCAAGCGAAGCCGGCAGTACCTGAGGAGGATGCTTCAGCGCGTCACACGAGGTCACCGCAAGCCGCTTGAGCCTTGTAAGGCCGTCCAGCCTTGTGGGCACTGAGGCGAGCTCTCTGCATTCAGAGATTGTGAGAGTCTCGAGGCCAGTCATGCGCGACACCGACGCCGGAAGGGCCGTGAGATGCGAGCAGAGGGAGACGTGCAGCTCCAGCAGGTTTCTCAGCTCTCCCACGCCCTCTGGGAGCGCTTCCACGTGGCACATTTCCAGCTCCAGCCTTGTCAGCGAGGAGATCTCAGTTAAAGAGGACGGGAGTTGGCGCTGCTGAAAGCTCTCTCTCAAAAGAAGCGTCTGGAGGTTACACTGCCGTCCTATGTCCGCTGGAAGCGCCACTCGCCCGAGGCAGAGGGTCCTGAGGGCTGTGAGGCAGCAGAAGCCTGCTGGCAGCTCGCAGATGGGCTCGCACCAGAGAAGAAAGAAGGTCTCCAAGGCGCTGAGCTGGCAGAGGGAGTCAGGGAGGCTTGACAGCGGCAGCTTTTCCAGAACCAGAGTTTTCAGGGCAGATAATCTCCCAACGTTTTCGGGCAGGCAGCGAAACTGGCGGCACTTGAAGATTGACAGGGACTCGAGGTGGTTCAGGGAAGTGAAACCCTCGGGAAGCTCCTGGAAGAGCTCGCACCCCCAAATGGTGAGCTCACGAAGACATGGCAGCACCTCTGCAATGTCGTGCGGGAGTCGCTCCAATTCCCGGCAACCTGAGATCTGCAGTTGTTCCAGGCTCGTGCACGGCCAACTCGGAAGCAACATCTCCGACGGTATCTGGCTGGTAACCAGCGATTTTATCAACGGTAACTCTGCGATGGTGAAGTCAGCCGAGCCTGCGTCGCCAGGAGAAAAGCAGGGCCGGACGGAGACGGAGAGGCTGGTAATGCTGGGAAGACGACGCACATTCGAGAGCTGCTCGAAAGTCAACTCCATGGCGGCGATATGGAGAGTGGTGAGCGAGCCGAGGCCCTCCAGATATGGAGATTCTAAGGCGGAGGGGGCTGTTAAGGCCAGGGTGTGAAGGCGCGTTAGCTGGAAGAAGGAAGGCGGTAGCTCCACGTCCCAATGGAGGCAGAGGAGTGAAAGCTGCTCGAGCTGAGAGCATTGCTGAAAGAAGCGATCCAGGCCGGCTTCGGTGATTGGATGCTGATGCTTCCACCCGGCGTAGTTCGGATCTTGTGTGATCCCGCTTCCTACGTGGAGAGTTGTCAGGTTGGGACACGACGATGCGAGGTGAGATAGGAAGTTGTCGTCTAGGGTTTCCACGCTGCCGTCGCACAGGTGGAGGTGGGTGAGGTTCGGGAAGCGAGCGACGGCGTGCGAGAGTTCTTGGAGGGAAACACCGCGGTTTCGTTCCACGAGGAGGGTGGAGACGTCTCGCGTAGCTAGAGCGCGCCAACGACGGCACACGGACGAGACGAGGGCGATCTTGGCAGCGCTTGGAACGGCGGAGGGAGTCGGAATTAAAGTCGTCTCTTCCTCGGGATTGGAATCTTCGTCGATTAGGATTGGCCTAAGGTACTGTGGCTTCGGCCACAATCGATGGTGAGACCATAACTCGTCACTGTCGGAAAGCTGAGATGTGTTCTCCTCGCAGTGCCATAGTATCCTAGCGAGGACGTCGTCCGGAAGATTATTGATATGTGTCGCCGACTGCATTTTCTTGGACGCGATTATGGTGGCAAGGATGGAAAGCAAATGAGATCCAGTGACTTTGAGGCCTAGACTGACTTCTAAGTTCAAACGAGACTACATACGAGAGTGACGAGACAGCACGAGGGAAAGCGCGGGAAAGCAGTGGAAGTCGACACTAGAGGCGTGAAACGCGGTGGAAGCGGTGGAAGTAGTGTTGTTCTAAACAGACTCAGAGGGGGTATTAATCCGAGTGACCAGAGAAAGGAGTGCGGCATGGATAACTCGAATTCATGGCGTGCCGTGTTGTGGAAGGTGATTCTGCGCAAGCAGATCACCGGCTCAACAGGAAGCAGAGTGGAGCTCGGGTGTGGTGTGGCGGGGAAGGGAAGCCTCTCCCCTGACGAGCTGGGGGGACGAGCGAGAGGTGGAGAGAGGAGATGAATCGAAGACTTGAACCGAGTCCTGCGGAATAGGGCAAATGGTGCGCAGAAGCAGAGTTGCTGCGGAGGTGCGTGCGAGGAGGACTTCTGTCTGGTGTTCGCTTTCGCGTGCACTGTACACGATGGGAACGGGGTTCTGTACAAAACATTTTCGCTGAATGGTAACGGAGTCGCATGCCAGGGAACACCGCTGTGGTGCAGGTCCGGGGTCCCACATGGTTCCAGAGTTTTTGGGAACTGCTTTCGCTAGCGCGAGAATTCATGACGAGGCAGCCATAGCACGGCGATGGTGTCTCTTGTCGAATTGAAACATGTTGCTACTTTGATGTTACCAAGTGTCTGCAAGTGATTCGTTACAGACGCTAGCCAGCCCGTTGTGCGAACTTTACCGAACAGAGCAACGTCAATTCCACTGTCCCACACCTTCCACTAGCATCTATGGCATTTCAAGAAGTATAGACTTGGGTCCATGTTCTAGGCCAGAACAAATTAGCGCACACTAGAAAAGCAGACTTGCGGCTCACGAGGCCAGTGCAGTTATTAACCCCTCTTGAAAACGTAGTTGTTAGCGAGAAACGAGTGTTTCAATGGATGCCGTTCGGTATCTTTCCCGTAGTACCCCGTCTCTCGCTTGCATCAACTCGCACATTTTGCATGCGAAGCTTCTTAGACGAGTATCGGAAGTAAGATTTCGAGCTCTATTCCCTTCTCTACGCTTTGCTTTCAACGACCTAGATAGCTTCATATCTCATTCCTCTGGATTTTCTGAATGCTTTTTCCCACTCCTTTCCGCCGTTTCTTAACGTGCTGAACACTGTTTATTCCGCAGCGCATCTCTCAGCTTCGCGCGTAACCAGTTTGCGCCTCAGATTTCAGCCCCGTTGTTGCCCTCCCTCACATGCTTTCCGCTTCGTTCCTCCATTTCTCCTTCCTGCTCCTGCCCTCATCTGTTTCCCCCACTCTACGGAAGCCTTTTCTTCTCGGATGTGACGTCGATGCTTGTCCGCGAGTCCCTCTTCTTGCAACTCCCGTCCTCCTCCTTCCCTCATCGCTCTTTCCCAATTCCCCCGCATCAACACTCCTCCCTTTTCATACCCGCGTGCGATGCTAACTCGGTCGTCAACTTGTCGCCAACATATGGTCATCGCAGAACCAGCAGGGAGGCTTTTGAGTCTCCTCAAAAGTCCCCGCGTGCGATACTAACTCGTCGCCAACATATGGCCATCGCAAAGCCAGCAGGGATGCTTTTGAGTCGTCTCAAAAGTCCCCCCGCGTGCGATGCTAACTCGTCGCCAACATACGGCCATCGCAAAGCCAGCAGGGAGGCGCAGGCTGGCGGAGAAAGTCGGGCGACTACTGTATTCCTCTCCTCCCCTCCTTCCCCACGCCCCTCCTTTCCTCCCCTCCTTCCCCACGCCCCTCCTTCCCCACGCCCCTCCTTTCCTCCCCTCCTTCCCCACGCCCCTCCTTTCCTCCCCTCCTTCCCCACGCCCCTCCTTTCCTCCCCTACTTACCCACGCCCCTCCTTTCCTCCCCTCCTTCCCCACGCCCCTCCTTTCCTCCCCTCCTTCCCCACGCCCCTCCTTTCCTCCCCTCCTTCCCCACGCCCCTCCTTTCCTCCCCTCCTTCCCCACGCCCCTCCTTTCCTCCCCTCCTCGCCGCAGCTGTCCCCCTCGCGCGTGCAAGTGCGATGCGCGGCCGCGGATTCGCCAAGCAGCCATGAGAGGGCGAGCAGGGAGGCGCAGGCAGCCAAGGAGGCCATGGAGATGCTGTGGCGCTCGCACAGCGGAGCCAATGCTGCTTGCCTCACATCCGCTCCTTCCTTCCGCCCTCCTTTCTTCCCCTCCTCGCCGCAGCTGTCCCTCTCGCGCGTCCAAGTGAGATGCTCAGCAGCGGGATCGTCGCACGGCCATGACAGGGCGAGCAGGGAGGCGCAGGCAGCCAAGGAGGCCATGGAGATGCTGTGGCGCTCGCACAGCGGGGTGAACACGCACAGCGGAGGCAGTGCTGCTGACGGGGTGAATCAAAACGGGGTGAACCACAGCGGAGGAGTGAGCCATGGCGGGATGCAGCAGCAGGCTCACGCGCAGCCGCTGTCCGTGCCTGCCGGGGGGTTTGAGTATGGGGAGGAAGAGGGGGAGGGTGGGGAGGGTGCAGGCGCAGGCGGGTTCACCCCGGAGAGCGTGCGGTCTCTGCTGGAGGCCCTTGAACTGGAGGCGGCGGAGGAGTCGAAACACGCCCTCAGGTGAGGGGCGCGCAAGCAGGGGCTGGGGTGAAGGTGCGGGCGCGGGCGGGTTTACCCCGGAGAGCGTGAGATCGCTGCTGGAGGCTCTTGAACTGGAAGCGGCGGAAGAGTTTAAACACGCGCTCAGGTAACAAGCACGCAAGCCCTCGGGTGAGCAGCATGCACGGGCTGAGGGTGGAGGCGCAGGCGAGTTCACTGCTGGAGGCTCTTGAGATGGAGGCGGCGGGCGCCTTAGAAGGCGCCTAAAATATGCTGTCGCTGCTGGAGGCTCTTGAGATGTCGCTGCTGGAGGTGCTAGAACTGGCGGCGGCGGAGTGGAGGAGTCGAACGAAACATGCCCTCAGGTGAGCAGAGCAGCACAACCTGAGGGGACAGGCGCTTCGCCTCTCCCCTCTCCAACTCCCCTTCCGGCTCGCCCCTTAGCATCATGGACGGCGTGCTGTGTGGGAGGACGAGCGCATTCATCTGTCCTATCCAGGCCCTCCCACCTCTCCCCCCCCCCCCATGGCAGCATCATAGACTGTGGGTGGTCAAGCGCAGCTAGCCACTCACTTCTCCTTCAATCTCGCCCCGCATGGCAGCATTGTGGACCGAGGGCTGGGGGTGGACAAGCGCAGTGCAGCTACCCTAACGGCCCTCCACCCCCCTCCCCCCCTTGCTCGCGCCCAGCATCGTGGATCGCGTGCTGTGGGTGGACAAGCGCGGTTAGCTACCCTACCCTTCCCCACCCCCAACCCCACTCCCCTCCCTCCCCTCCTGGCAGCATTGTGGATCGCGTGCTGTGGGTGGACAAGCGCGTGCGCGACTACATGACGCCCAACCCCATCTGCCTGCACCGCGACATGTCCCTGCGCGACGCCGCTCAGGTGAGAGTCGTGGGGGAGGTGGGGGAAGGGGGGCGCGGGGGAGGTGGGGGAGGCGGGGGAGGTGAGAGTGGGGGACGCGGATCAGTTAAGAGGCGACTACATGACGCCCAACCCCATCTGCCTGCACCAAGACATGTCGATCTGTGATGCCGCTCAGGTGAGAGAGAGGCGGGTGATACGGGGGAGATGAGTGAGGCGGGGGAGGTGAGAGTGAGAGGGCGGATCAGTTGGGTTGGGAGGCGGATCAGTTGGGAGGCGACTACATGACGCCCAACCCCATCTGCCTGCACCGCGACATGTCTCTCCGCGATGCCGCTCAGGTGAGAGAGGGAGAGGTGGGAGGGGCGGGTGAGGGGAGGAATACGTGGGTGAAGGAATAGAGAGATGGGTGAGGGGGGAGAGAATTGGGTGAGGGGAGAGAGAGACGGGTGATGGGAGAGAGAGAGACGGGTGATGGAAGAGAGAGACGGTGATGGGAGGAGTAAGGGACGGGTGATGGGAGTGAGAGGCGGTGATGGGAGAGAGAGAGGCGGGTGAGGGTTTTTCCTCCTTTAATCCCCTTTCCCTCCGTCCTATGCCTTCGCATACGAATCTTCCTCACTCTCTCTTCACGCCAATTTTCCTGCGCCATCACGAGTCGGGCGCCGGTGGTGGAGGCGGAGCATGGGAATGCCTAAGACAGAGGGAGGGAGTTCGAACATGCCTCCTCTCTCCCCTCCTCCCTTTTCTCCCATTTCTTCTCTCCTCCTCCTCACTCCATTCATCGCACGCAGAACTTCCTGCACCATCGCATCAGCGGGGCGCCAGTGGTGGAGGCAGAGGAGGAGGAGAATGGCACAGAGGGACATAATACATGCTGCCCCCCTCCCTGCCTCCCCTCTTCTTCCTCTCTCCTTTCATCGCTCCCCTCCTCTCCTCTTCCTCACTCCTCTTCGCAGAACTTCCTGCACCATCGCATCAGTGGGGCGCCAGTGGTGGAGGCGGAGGAGGGGGAGAATGGCAGAGGGACATAATACATGCCTCTCCCCTCCCCCCCTCCCCTCTTCTTCCTCACTCCTCTCTCTTCACACCAGATCTTCCTGCGCAATCGCATCAGCGGGGCGCCAGTGGTGGAGGCGGACGAGGAGGACGACGGGGTGGGGCTGGGCAAGGTGGTGGGTGTGCTGTCTCAGCGCGACATCATGTGGAAGGAGCTGCGCACGCACAACATGGTGGGTGGCATATGCAAGTGTTATTTCGGAAAATTGTAGAGAGGAAAAGAGGACGACGGGGGTGGGGCTGGGCAGAATGGTGGTTGTACTATCTCAGCGTGACACCATGTGGAAGGAGCTCCAGACGCATGGCATGGTGGGTGGTGTGGACTCTGCATCCTTCCACGTGATTTCCAATGCTTGGCGCGGTGAAAGTTGGAGCTCTGGGATCGGCTGGTTTGAACTTTTGAGTCGACTCAAAAGTCAGCTCGTTTTTCCAATGCATGGCATGGCGCGGTGAAAGTTGGAGCTCTGGGATCGGCTTGTTTGAACTTCTGAGTCGACTCAAAAGTCAGCTCGTTTTTCCAATGCATGGCATGGCGCGGTGAAAGTTGGAGCTCTGGGATCGGCTTGTTTGAACTTTTGAGTCGACTCAAAAGTCAGCTCGTTTTTCCAATGCATGGCATGGCGCGGTGAAAGTTGGAGCTCTGGAATCAGCTTGTTTGAACTTCCACCCAACCGATCTAGAATCGACCCTGTGCGGACCAACGAGTTGAAAAACTAGCTCGGTTTGATGTGACTCGGGGTTTGTCTGGTGTCAAACCGGACGAACTATATCAAGCCAAACCTAGTAGGGTTTGTCTCGAACCAGAAGGCCAAATTAAGGTTCAAGTTTCAACCAAGCGGTTTGGCTCTCTTCTCTCTCGTGCTTGGTGCGTGGCATGTTGACTGTGTCCTTCCATGTTCCACATACTGTCTTGTCTCATCCGCATGCATGCCCTGCTGTCCCTGTTAAAGCTCTATTGAAGCTGAACCCACTCCTTGCTTTTTGAGGCGTCCCTAGACCAGGCCCCTTCCACGTATCTTCCCAAGCTCCACCCCTCCACTTCCCCAAGACGCACATGTTCAACGGCGGTCCAGCCGCCTCTTCCTTCAAACTCGCTACCAGGCCTTGAGACTTCTCAAAAGCGTGTTTTGAGACGTCTCAAAAGACGCACATGCTCAGCGGCGGAACAGCAGTGTCTTTAACGGCGGTCCAGCCGCCTCTTCCTTCAAACTCGCTATCATGCAGCCACAGAAAAAGGTCTTGCTGCCAGGTTGCGGGAAACTTTGCAGGCAGCCGAGTTGATGGGCTGCATGGCGAACCACCGTGACTACGTGAACCAGTGTTTCACACTCAAGAAGAGGAGGAGTTTCTGCGGTACCTGCAGAAAAAGGTCTTGCTGCCAGGTTGCGGGAAACTTTGCAGGCAGCCGAGTTGATGGGCTGCATGGCGAACCACCGTGACTACGTGAACCAGTGTTTCACAATCAAGAAGAGGAGGAGTTTCTGCGGTACCTGCAGAAAAAGGTCTTGCTGCCAGGTTGCGGGAAACTTTGCAGGCAGCCGAGTTGATGGGCTGCATGGCGAACCACCGTGACTACGTGAACCAGTGTTTCACACTCAAGAAGAGGAGGAGTTTCTGCGGTACCTGCAGAAAAAGGTCTTGCTGCCAGGTTGCGGGAAACTTTGCAGGCAGCCGAGTTGATGGGCTGCATGGCGAACCACCGTGACTACGTGAACCAGTGTTTCACAATCAAGAAGAGGAGGAGTTTCTGCGGTACCTGCAGAAAAAGGTCTTGCTGCCAGGTTGCGGGAAACTTTGCAGGCAGCCGAGTTGATGGGCTGCATGGCGAACCACCGTGACTACGTGAACCAGTGTTTCACAATCAAGAAGAGGAGGAGTTTCTGCGGTACCTGCAGAAAAAGGTCTTGCTGCCAGGTTGCGGGAAACTTTGCAGGCAGCCGAGTTGATGGGCTGCATGGCGAACCACCGTGACTACGTGAACCAGTGTTTCACAATCAAGAAGAGGAGGAGTTTCTGCGGTACCTGCAGAAAAAGGTCTTGCTGCCAGGTTGCGGGAAACTTTGCAGGCAGCCGAGTTGATGGGCTGCATGGCGAACCACCGTGACTACGTGAACCAGTGTTTCACAATCAAGAAGAGGAGGAGTTTCTGCGGTACCTGCAGAAAAAGGTCTTGCTGCCAGGTTGCGGGAAACTTTGCAGGCAGCCGAGTTGATGGGCTGCATGGCGAACCACCGTGACTACGTGAACCAGTGTTTCACAATCAAGAAGAGGAGGAGTTTCTGCGGTACCTGCAGAAAAAGGTCTTGCTGCCAGGTTGCGGGAAACTTTGCAGGCAGCCGAGTTGATGGGCTGCATGGCGAACCACCGTGACTACGTGAACCAGTGTTTCACAATCAAGAAGAGGAGGAGTTTCTGCGGTACCTGCAGAAAAAGGTCTTGCTGCCAGGTTGCGGGAAACTTTGCAGGCAGCCGAGTTGATGGGCTGCATGGCGAACCACCGTGACTACGTGAACCAGTGTTTCACAATCAAGAAGAGGAGGAGTTTCTGCGGTACCTGCAGAAAAAGGTCTTGCTGCCAGGTTGCGGGAAACTTTGCAGGCAGCCGAGTTGATGGGCTGCATGGCGAACCACCGTGACTACGTGAACCAGTGTTTCACAATCAAGAAGAGGAGGAGTTTCTGCGGTACCTGCAGAAAAAGGTCTTGCTGCCAGGTTGCGGGAAACTTTGCAGGCAGCCGAGTTGATGGGCTGCATGGCGAACCACCGTGACTACGTGAACCAGTGTTTCACAATCAAGAAGAGGAGGAGTTTCTGCGGTACCTGCAGAAAAAGGTCTTGCTGCCAGGTTGCGGGAAACTTTGCAGGCAGCCGAGTTGATGGGCTGCATGGCGAACCACCGTGACTACGTGAACCAGTGTTTCACAATCAAGAAGAGGAGGAGTTTCTGCGGTACCTGCAGAAAAAGGTCTTGCTGCCAGGTTGCGGGAAACTTTGCAGGCAGCCGAGTTGATGGGCTGCATGGCGAACCACCGTGACTACGTGAACCAGTGTTTCACAATCAAGAAGAGGAGGAGTTTCTGCGGTACCTGCAGAAAAAGGTCTTGCTGCCAGGTTGCGGGAAACTTTGCAGGCAGCCGAGTTGATGGGCTGCATGGCGAACCACCGTGACTACGTGAACCAGTGTTTCACAATCAAGAAGAGGAGGAGTTTCTGCGGTACCTGCAGAAAAAGGTCTTGCTGCCAGGTTGCGGGAAACTTTGCAGGCAGCCGAGTTGATGGGCTGCATGGCGAACCACCGTGACTACGTGAACCAGTGTTTCACAATCAAGAAGAGGAGGAGTTTCTGCGGTACCTGCAGAAAAAGGTCTTGCTGCCAGGTTGCGGGAAACTTTGCAGGCAGCCGAGTTGATGGGCTGCATGGCGAACCACCGTGACTACGTGAACCAGTGTTTCACAATCAAGAAGAGGAGGAGTTTCTGCGGTACCTGCAGAAAAAGGTCTTGCTGCCAGGTTGCGGGAAACTTTGCAGGCAGCCGAGTTGATGGGCTGCATGGCGAACCACCGTGACTACGTGAACCAGTGTTTCACAATCAAGAAGAGGAGGAGTTTCTGCGGTACCTGCAGAAAAAGGTCTTGCTGCCAGGTTGCGGGAAACTTTGCAGGCAGCCGAGTTGATGGGCTGCATGGCGAACCACCGTGACTACGTGAACCAGTGTTTCACAATCAAGAAGAGGAGGAGTTTCTGCGGTACCTGCAGAAAAAGGTCTTGCTGCCAGGTTGCGGGAAACTTTGCAGGCAGCCGAGTTGATGGGCTGCATGGCGAACCACCGTGACTACGTGAACCAGTGTTTCACAATCAAGAAGAGGAGGAGTTTCTGCGGTACCTGCAGAAAAAGGTCTTGCTGCCAGGTTGCGGGAAACTTTGCAGGCAGCCGAGTTGATGGGCTGCATGGCGAACCACCGTGACTACGTGAACCAGTGTTTCACAATCAAGAAGAGGAGGAGTTTCTGCGGTACCTGCAGAAAAAGGTCTTGCTGCCAGGTTGCGGGAAACTTTGCAGGCAGCCGAGTTGATGGGCTGCATGGCGAACCACCGTGACTACGTGAACCAGTGTTTCACAATCAAGAAGAGGAGGAGTTTCTGCGGTACCTGCAGAAAAAGGTCTTGCTGCCAGGTTGCGGGAAACTTTGCAGGCAGCCGAGTTGATGGGCTGCATGGCGAACCACCGTGACTACGTGAACCAGTGTTTCACACTCAAGAAGAGGAGGAGTTTCTGCGGTACCTGCAGAAAAAGGTCTTGCTGCCAGGTTGCGGGAAACTTTGCAGGCAGCCGAGTTGATGGGCTGCATGGCGAACCACCGTGACTACGTGAACCAGTGTTTCACAATCAAGAAGAGGAGGAGTTTCTGCGGTACCTGCAGAAAAAGGTCTTGCTGCCAGGTTGCGGGAAACTTTGCAGGCAGCCGAGTTGATGGGCTGCATGGCGAACCACCGTGACTACGTGAACCAGTGTTTCACAATCAAGAAGAGGAGGAGTTTCTGCGGTACCTGCAGAAAAAGGTCTTGCTGCCAGGTTGCGGGAAACTTTGCAGGCAGCCGAGTTGATGGGCTGCATGGCGAACCACCGTGACTACGTGAACCAGTGTTTCACAATCAAGAAGAGGAGGAGTTTCTGCGGTACCTGCAGAAAAAGGTCTTGCTGCCAGGTTGCGGGAAACTTTGCAGGCAGCCGAGTTGATGGGCTGCATGGCGAACCACCGTGACTACGTGAACCAGTGTTTCACAATCAAGAAGAGGAGGAGTTTCTGCGGTACCTGCAGAAAAAGGTCTTGCTGCCAGGTTGCGGGAAACTTTGCAGGCAGCCGAGTTGATGGGCTGCATGGCGAACCACCGTGACTACGTGAACCAGTGTTTCACAATCAAGAAGAGGAGGAGTTTCTGCGGTACCTGCAGAAAAAGGTCTTGCTGCCAGGTTGCGGGAAACTTTGCAGGCAGCCGAGTTGATGGGCTGCATGGCGAACCACCGTGACTACGTGAACCAGTGTTTCACAATCAAGAAGAGGAGGAGTTTCTGCGGTACCTGCAGAAAAAGGTCTTGCTGCCAGGTTGCGGGAAACTTTGCAGGCAGCCGAGTTGATGGGCTGCATGGCGAACCACCGTGACTACGTGAACCAGTGTTTCACAATCAAGAAGAGGAGGAGTTTCTGCGGT